GAAGTATTTCTGAGAACATTATTTCAACGGCTGACTGGCTGACTGCAACAAGTACGAGTTCCTTGCTTAAGGTGTAGGAGATTTATGTTAGCGCGGTTGCCATATTTTGTAAAATTTAATAATCATAACGAGAAGTGTCTTGTCCAAAAGCAATCGAATTTTCAGACGGCATCATACTGTCCCAGATTGTCTTGCCTATAGGATTTTATCAAATACAACAGGTCAATTAACGATTCTGTTCTATTACGCTGGTATATACACAAATATTCTGATAACAATAAATCGATGCTTCGTGATAACATGGCCAGCCCTCTATCAGAAATACTTCGATAAGTCAATGACAATACGATGGATCATGATTGTGTGGTCATTGTCATTCTTACAAAGTTGTATCTATCTAATTCGTAAGTTGCGCATCTCAAGTCGACAGCTCCAATAAGAACAATTACCAATAATGCCCATTTGAACAACAAAAAAAGACTCAGCTCCAGCTTCGCGCTTTTCAGTTTTAGACCGCGTACAAGCTCAAATTCTGCACCTTTCAAAATTCTGGTTTCGGTCTCGCCTGCGCTTACGCACATCCAAAAGGTCGTCTCTGCCTCCAGCTAGAGCTCCGTGTCCTCAAAACATTGGTTACAGCTCCGGCTCCAGCTCCGCAATTTTCGAATTTCCGGCTATCACCTCAGCTCCGGCTCCAGATTTTTTTTGAAATCCCGGCCTCAGCTGGAGCTCCTCATATTTTAAGGCTCAGGCTTCAACTCCAGCTCAGAAATATGCTTTGGCTCGCTCCGGAGGAATTCGGATCCAGATAAAAACCGCGGCTACTAAATGTTGCTGTGATACTTCGTTATGAAAGAGCCACGAAAAATGCTTTTTGGCTTCTGAGCTTAGACATCACCGGCGACCACTTTCTTTAATGCGCGATCATTTCAGCTGGCTGTCACTTTTATTTCGACACCAAAATGTATATTTGGAGCTACTCGCCAACATCGTGCGGCCGTGTGATATCAACCATGATCGAATTAGCGTTGAATTTATTCGCCGTATTTTTCATCATCTCGATGGACACATTCATTTTCTTCAAGTTCAGACGTATGAATAAGGTGTTTTTTGACGTTATTTTAACATTAAAACAAATAACTGGTATTCTTGAATCGTAAAATAGAATTCAAGCGCTCACTGTGCATTATGGTGATTGGCACTGAGTCATCAACACTCCAGCTCTGATAGCATTTTCCTCCTTCTTTGATCACTCAGAAAATCAGTTTATAACGTCACATAGTGAACTGCGGTTCATCGGATTCGCTTGAGAGAGGCAGCTCAATAAATTGAAACCGAATAATTCAACGGCAACTTGAATGAACATTGAAGGCACTTAAAGCGAGTGGTGCATGCCCAATCTCAGTTACCGAGCAACAGCAACGTCGCAAACGAGAGAATCGATTCTTCGTGCAGGTGATCGATTCCAAATGTGTATTACCTCTGTAGCATGTCATCGATGATCCTAAATCGTATCAAAATCAGCCTCAGTTGATGTCGCGACTAGCGCGAAAAGCTAGCATGAAATGATAATGATGATAGTACTGAAAGATAGTACTTCGGTCAAATAGAAATGATTGAGCAATGGGCCGGCGGTAAACTGGTGTAACGCTGGGCATTGAGAATCCGATCGGTTCCGAAGACGTAAGTTTGATTTCGCGTATCTCAATTTAAGAGATATTCAAAAGGGCTTAGTTTCGACAGTTGATGCCGTTTATTGAATAATTGTTTAGCTTTTCTTCACATCGAACGCTACTCGTCGGACTCCTTCCTCCTGCAGCTCTCATTAAATAGTGACCAATTTTTTCTGCTGATATTCCAATTTTCGCTAAACTTTCTCTCCATTTTTTCACGCTATAATAATTTCAGCGTGAAAATAACCACTTTTGCAGGCATGTTGCTCGGAGAGCCTTTATTTGTTTGCCTTTACTTGTTTCTACGGATCAACGCTATTGCCATATTCTAAATGGGGATTGTTTGGTCTAACGACAATGATTTGGGAATTATTTCATACGTTCGACGGGTGAGTGTCACGAGCATTTTGAGAACGAAGAAAAACAGCGATAAGCTGTCACTTGAAAACATTCAAAATTAGTCACTTCTTTGATCGATAAAGGTAATTAATGAACCGATAATCGTGGCATGCCATGAGTTTTCATACGAGAGCCGTACGAGTTTCGATGGTATCAGTGGTAA